GGTGTTTTTTGCTTCCTTATATTCCAAATCAAAGGTTTGCTTCTTGACTTTACCTACTCTACTATTGAATCTGTGTGAATTATTCTTTATTTCAGTTAGTGCATCCTTCATTTCTGACTGGTCCTTTTTTTTTTTTTTTTTATCCTCACCCGAGGACACTTTTTTACGTTTATCTTCAGATAGCATGGGAGGGAGAGAGGGAGAGAAACATTAATGTGAGACAGACACATTGACTGGTTGCCACCCACATGACCCCAACTGGGGCTGGGCACAAACTGCAACTGAGGTATGTGCCCTTAGTGGAACCGAGCCTGGGACTCTCTGGTCCACAGGCCGACCCTCTAACCACTGAGCCAAACCGGCCAGGGCTGACTGATCCTTTTTCATGTTGTTGATGTTCTCACCAAGTTCCTTGAGCAACCTTATAACCTGTGTTTTGAACTCTGCATCTGATTGATTGCTTATCTCCATTCTTTCCCTGGAGTTTTGTTCTTTTCTTTCATTTGGGACATGTTTCTTTGTCTCCTCATTTTGGCTGCTTCCCTGTGATTGTTTCTATGTATTAGGTAGAGTTGCTATGTCTCCTAGGCTTTGTAGGGTGGCCTATTGTTGTAGGTGTCCTATAGAATCCAGTGGCACAGCCTCTCTGATCACTCCAGCTGGGCCCTCGAGGTACACCCCTAGTTTGGACTGTACACCCTTCTGTTGTAATTGAATCTTGATTGCTGTTGGCATGTCAGTGGGAGGGATTTACTCAGGCTGATCAGCTGCAAGAATTGGCTATGCCCACTGACCACTGGCCTCTGACTACCTTGGAGGATCAGCTGTGTAGAGCAAGACTTACTTCATCAGCGCTCTGGTACCCACTGAGTCCACTCATTGAGTGTGTCACTTGTGGAGGTGGTTGGGTGGTGGTGTTTCGATGTGGTCTGAAGTTGTCCACTGGGTGTGCTGACTCTGGGGCAAGGTCAGCCACAGCCTGTGTTCTATCCAGGGCCACCCAGAAAAGCTACAGAGTGATCTGCTGATGGCTGCTTCTTGTGCTGGGCTTGGAGGTGTCCAGGAAATTCCGAGTTGTGACCCAAGGCTGGCTGCTTCTAGTGCCAGGACTGGGGCCACTTAACAAAAGTATGGGGCTCGCTGAGACCAGATGCTACTTGTTTGAGAGACTTTAGGAAACTCTGAAGCAGGATCCAAGACAGGCCAGTCCTGTGGTAAAGCCATTGGAAACAGCTTGTGTGGGCCCAAAAGTTGGGTGGGGCAGGGTCTCAGGGAATCACCAGGGTGGGGCAAACTGAGCCAGGTTGCTGGAGTCCCAGATATGGTGGCTGTCTGCCGCCCCAGGGAAGGGCTCACCAAAGGAACATCAACCTCTGCCAGCACGTCTGTCCAGGAGAAAGCTGCTTCTGCAGCCCTCATTCCAAGGCCAAACAGCTCAGTTCTTCCCCACATGTCTCTGGCACCCCTCAAGCTGCCTCCCCTCCGAGGTCAGAGTAAGTCCGTGCGCTGGCCCTTTAAGAGGAGCTGCCTGGGGCTCCAGCAGCCTTAGCCTCAGTTCCTGCTGGTGTTTCCAGCCAGAAGTTATGGGGACTCCTCTTCCTGGTACTGGAACCCTGAGCTGGGTGCCTGGTGTGGGACGGGGATCCCTCACTACTCAGGGAGGACCTTCCCAGCCGAGGTGTCCTCCTGATTTTTATCCGCCACATGTGGGTGTGGGACCAGCCCGTCCCCTCCGCCCTCCTACCAGTCTCTATGTGGCTGCTGCTTTAATTCCTCAGTTGTAGGACTTCCATTTCGTTCGATTTCAGGCAGTTCTGAGTGATGATTGTTCTGTAGTTTAGTTGTAACTCTGATGTGGTTGTGGGAGGAGGCGATACCGCCTTTACCTATGCTGCCATCCTGACCGGAAGTCCTGATTCTCTTAAATTTAAATAGCCATCTGAGGCTCCTGGCTGCCATATGATAGCACCACGGAGACTTCGGGTTTACCCACGTTGGGCTGTTGGAGTCACTCCACCCCCATCAGTGGAACCAAGGCAGAATTGCTGGCCAAGGCTGTCCCCAGGATTCTCTGGCTACCCCCTTCCCCAGCCAGCATCATCAGCCTTTCTGAAACATCTTTGAACAGCCCTGGCCAGTTTGGCTTAGTGGTTAGAGCGTCGGCCCACAGACCAAAGAGCTGCAGGTTCAATTCTGGTTAAACCTCGCTTGCGGTTTGGTCCCCGGCCCTGGTTGGGGTCATGCGGGAGGCAACCAGTTGATGTATCTCTCTCACATCGATGTCCCTCTCTCTCTCTTTCTCCCTCCCTCACATCTATCTGATGATAAGTGGAAAAATATCCTCGGGTGAGGATTTAAAAACTAATAATAATAATAAAATAAAACATCCTTGAACAAACATTTCCAAGCCATCAGTTTAAGAGGAAACAAAATAGTTTGCTTGGCTCGCAGTAGTGCTTGATACAATGAGTTAGACTTATACTTCTCTCCAAATTTGCCTCATTCCTGGGACAAGGATGAGGTTTGTTCCCTGCCTTGGATACTGGGTCATGGCTTTCATTCATGGGTGCTAAGGTCACACTGTTTCACTTCCTTCTTTGTTGGAGCCACATAGGAAAGCAGTGGTTAACAGTGTGGGTCTTGGCCCTGGCCGGGTAGCTCAGTTGGTTAGAGCATTGTCCTAGTACACCAATATTGTGGGTTCGATCCCCAATCAGGGCACATACAAGAAGTAACCAATGGATGCATGAACAAGTGGAACAACAAATCGATACCTCTCTCTCTCTCTCCCTCCCTTCCTCTCTCTCTAAAATCAATACGTAAACATTTAAAAGAAAGAAGAAAAAGAGTGTGTGTTTGTGTGGGTTTTGGAGTGTGGTTCTTGGATTGGAATCTGGCTTCTCCACTTTCGATGGTGTGACCTCAGGCAAGTTAATTAACCTCTCTGTGCCTCCCTTTCTGTACCTATAAAACGAGGATCGTGATAGTAATCCAGGCAGTGCACTGGTCCATAGTAACTGCCCTGTTGTCACCTCCTATTATGATGAAAACAAGTGTTGACTCTGAACATCTTAATGATTTGAAGGTGTGACTCTTGAACATGTCCACATGGAGGCAGCCTAAAACCGTGCATGTCTGGGGGAAACCCAGCCTTCTGTTTGTGAAACCTAGAGGTAATGTGATCAGTTTCAAATGTTCTTGGCCCTTTTCCCTCACATTTTCAGTAGTTCTTAGGCTCTACTTTAGATATGGGACAGGGCCCATTAACACCTCGAGGGTGGCATGGGCAATACAGAGAGACGTGTGTTCCTCCTTAATCCTCACCCGAGGATATTTTTGCATTAATCCTCAGATAGAGCTAGATGGAGAGAGAGGGCCACTGTGGGACAGGGGGCAGTGGCCTGAGCTGCGTGACCCAGAGATTCCTAACCCGCCTTGGTTCAGTAGCCTCTCTGTCCCCAGGGAGACCAAGTTAGAGGAGAACCCAACCAAGCAGAATGAAATTAGGCGGCTTCTGTCATGGGAGAATCACAGAGCTGCCTGGGGCCTGGGGACCTGTGGGATCTTGAAGGGGGCCGGGGCAGAGAAGGGGCAGTTTTAGCTGGATGGTGTGTGGGAGAAAAGGGCAGTGCTGAGGTCAAGTTGGGAAGAGAGTTTGGGGTTTGATTGTGGGGGCCAGCAGTGATGAGCTGAGAACTTGGGCCTTGAAATTCTCTTATTTGGGGCAGGGGAGCTTGAAATTCTTGATGCTATCCATGTTGTTGGTAGCATCATAAAGATTAAAAGTTGACTGAAATCAAACATGGGGAGTGGCACTTGTCCAGGGTTGATTTCCCACTGCTTGGTTTTTTGTTTTTTTATTTATCTTTATTGTTGAAAATATTACAGATGTTCCCCCTTTGTTCCCCCAGTGTTTGTCTATTTATAAGCAGTGATTTTCACTGTCTGTGATCCAGGCTGAGAAAGCAGACACTGGTGGGGAATTGTGACAATCCACTGATTATCTCGTTCATCCCGGTTCTTGTTCCCATGCCTACTCTGTAGTCCAGCCTCTCAGTCCCTCCTGCCAGTGCAGGAACCTTCATGAGAGGTTACCATGGCAGCGGGCACTATGAAGTCAGCTTGTGATGTAACCAGAGAGGAGGGCTCAGGAGCACTGGAAAGGTAATGGTTGTGCTAACACTGATACTTCTTGCTCCTGAACATTGTGCTGGAACATTATATAAATAGTCATAAATGACCAGTTGTGACCTAGTGCAATAAATTATTTCCCATCCTGTAAGGAGTGTAAATATCACTTCATCTTTGATTTAGAAAGCCCTTTAGGGTCCTGTAGAATAGGGATGAAATGGGTAACAGTGAGGAGCTCCTGGGATGCTTCCCGGACATTTACTTTGGGGGGAGGGTGCCATTTGTTCCATTTTATTTGTTTTAGATATTTAAGTGACAAACAGGAGTTTATTGCTTCTTTGTGATTGTAAAATACTAAGATTGACATCAGAGCAAACTTCGCAGAACCGAAATCTGCGAAGTGTGGTTCTCAGTGTTCACCCTCGGAGCTCCTGTGTGTCCCACAGCCGTTGACCCCCTCCAGACACTAGAATGTGTAATCATGTCTACTGCCCTGCTTCTCCCCTCCCCTGAGATCCAGGCTGGAAGAGGCCTGGTGGGCTTTTCTGTACACTGCCTGGGTTCTCTATCACTTACTGCACTTTCTGACACCTGCAGGGCCAGGCCCGGCTTCAGAAGACTAGGGAACGGGCTTATTTCTCTGGGGCTGGTGTTGGTGGGTGAGTGTGGCAGCCGTTGCTGCCACCCCCTTAGTTCTGGGGCCAGCCGTGTGTGTGGTGGGGAGTGATGGATGGGGCGTCCATGGACAAAGCCATGCTGATGGATGATGCATGTATGTGGCCAGACCCAGGGCGAGGGCCCAGCAGCCCCTGGCACTCAGCAGGGAGGTAAAGAGTGAAGACATTTTCTCCATGTTTTCTTTCTTGTAGGTATGGATGGATTTTTAAGATCTGATGAGAGACAAAGACTAGCTAGAGAAAGACGGGAAGAAAGAGAAAAATGTATAGGTAAGTCTTGTACGTTGGTCGTTTGGGTCCAAGGAAGTGGAGATAAGGCGGTGTCTTTCCTCAAGAGCCTGAGAAATCTGTGATGGAATTGGAAGAGCTAGGACACTTGTTAGATGAACAAGGGGAATTGGGGGTGAACCCATGCTGTGAATGGCACGTTCACATTATGCAGTTCTCCAAGCAGTTCCTTTACTCGCCTAGCGAACACTGAATGGTGCTGTGTTCCTGGCACTGTGCTCGGGCTGTGGTTAGCAAGAAGAACACAACCTGAGAAGGGGTAGCTGCCCCCGCCACCCCCCACTGTGAACACTCAGGCTCTCGCTCTCTCTGGAGCATCTACAAAGACCAATTAAGACAATGTCTGTGTTAAGACGGAGAACCCAGTTGAGAAAGGCTTACTTACCTCTTTTTTTTTTCCCTTTATTGATTTTAGAGAGGAAGGGAGAGGGAGAGAGAGAGAGAGAGAGAGAGAAACATTGATGAGAAAGAACATCAATTGGCTGCCTCCTGCATGCCCCCCACTGGGGATCTGGCCCACAACCTGGGCGTGTGCCCTGACTGGGAATCGAACCACTGAGCCACACTGACCAGGCTTGCTGTCTTCCCTCCTGAAGGCTGTAGATGGATAAGTAGGGTGTCCCCACAGGGTGCTCTGAGGTAGATGGATAGCGATTTCCCTCTTGAATTGAAATAAAAGAGGAGCTTTCAAGTTCTCCTTGACAGTCTCCTGCTGGTTAGCTCAGGTATTGCACCCTCCAGGGAAGCCTTTCCTGACTCCACCAGGTGGAGTTAAGGCGCCTTTATTGTTTTGTGGGGAAGGCCAAGCTTATTCATGTGTTTATCCCGTTGCCCAGCTCGGTGACTGATGCGTGACACCTACATGGTTAACATGTTTGGAATGAACGTACCCTTACAACTCTCATTTCTCAACCAGTGTATGGCTTACCCAGGGTGACAAGACAGACTCGAGGCTAATAATGATAGTCGTAGCTGCCCCATGCAGGGGCACTTACTGTACACTTTCCATGCCTTGTTTCGTTCAGCCTTCACAGCACTGTGATGCTGCAGACATGACTGTCCCCTCTTCACAGAGGAGGAAACCAAAAGCAGAGTGTGTGGTTAGCATGGCCAGGGTCACCCAGCTAGTGGCAGAGCTGCCAGACCCCTCGTCTCAGTCACTGCAGCCGGAGCTCCCACTGGGCTCTTGTTTTGGCCTCGCTCTTGCTTCTGCATCGTTGGTCTTAATCCAAACAGTGTGGAGTGCTCTGGTAATGCCGCCTCTCCTGGGTTTCCTCCCCCAGCCGCCCGGGAACAGCAGTTCCTGGAGAAACAGAAAAGGGCTAAGCTGCAGTATGAAAAGCAAATGGAGGAGCGATGGCGGAAACTGGAGGAGCAACGGCGTCGGGAGAACCAGAAGAGAGCTGCGGTGGAAGAGAAGAGGAGGCAGAAGCTCCGGGAGGATGGGGTAAGGTCCTGGGACCCCTAGGCCGCCTGAGCGGCTCACACAGGGCTTGGTGCTCAGGGTGCCTGTGTGTCTTCCCAGTTTTGCACTACAAGAGTGATCTGCTCCTAACCTGAGCTCTCCCCTGGGTGGCTCACCATGCCTTTTTTCAGCAGCATGACACTCTACAGAAGTAGCACTAGACTAGGAACAAAGAGACTTATCCATTCAACTCAGCTGTTCATTTGCTGTGTGACTTTGGACAAGCCGCTTGGCCTCTCTGGGCCTTGAATTACTGGTCTCTAAAGTGAGTGGGTTAGATTTGGAAGGCCTCTTCCAGGCCTAACCATCTCTAACACTAGGACTCAGAGGGGATTGTGGATGGGGGCCAGGTGATGTAGACCTGGGGGTTCCGCTGGGGGTTGAGCCTGCAGGGTGGACAGGAGGCTTGAGGAAGTGCTGTGAGGAAGGTGGAAGAGAAGTTGACCCTTTTATTCACTGCTGGAAAAATCAAATAGTCTGCTTTAAATCCAAAGATGCTGGTATATTTAAATTTTAATGCAGTTCCTGGCTTTGATTATCCTTTCTCTCCAGTTACCTTTTTAAAAAGAAATACAATATAATTACCCCTACAGAGTCTTTTATTACTAAACTTTGAAAATATATTTGGGAAGCATTTTGGGGGTATAGATTTTTTTGACAGGTATATTTTAAGGATGTAGTCATAGCCTTGTATCAGGTGATGATCATTTTTTATTCATAAGGTATAATGACTCATCATTTACTATGAACGACAGAGAGGTTTGTTAATTGCCAACACAATAGGATACAGAAATGTTTCTATAAATTCGGTATTTTTGAAATCTCTGAATGGTTTATCATGATGTATCTTTGCCCCTTCCTCTTTTTCTAATTAAAAAAAAAAAAAAAAAAAAAAAAAAAAAAACACGATCATGCGCTTGCACACACAATTACATTAATCTTTGCCCACAAAGCACTCATTTACATGGCGATTTCTTTGTTCCTCTTAGCGAATGAAGGTCTAAGCAAGGGTCTTCGCCACAGTTCGCCATTGCTCGCTGCAGCGTGATATCACCACGGTGGCTTCATCAGCTCCCGATGCAAATCCCAGCTCTGCCACAGGGCAGCTGGTAGCCAGGGGCCAGTCACCTAGCCCCTCATAACCCTCTAATTCAGGCTCCTCAGCACCAAACAGGGTAATCACAGGAATTAAAGGAGGTGACTGGTGTGGTGGCAAAGCACCTAGCACAGAGTAATGCTCAGAAACGTTCCATTCCTTTCGGTGACTTCAGCTGACCTTGGCTGAAGCAAGGTCAAGAGGGAGGTACCCAGAAAAGATTATGGTGCCAAGTCTATAGACTAAGAAAAGTGCCACAGTGTCCTAGGCCACCTCAGTAACCCAGGGCAGATCTCTCTTTTCCCAGCCTGTGTGTATTTGTCCTGAATCAGTGGACTCGTCTGTTTTCTTCTCGCCCTCCATCCTTTGACTCACAGTGTGTCCCCTTCCTCCCTGCTCTCTTCATTTTGGTTCCTGACATCCTGCGGGCTTGCTGCCTCCACAAAGGGGCACTGTGCAGTCACAGGAGACACTTCCTGAGCCTGGCACACCTGAGTGTCACAGGGGTCCGCCCTTGAGGCACTCGCTGCCTGTAATTTTTCTCACAGAGCAGTGGTGCCGGAGGCATTTGAAATCAAGCTCTCAGACTCCCCGCTCTTGCAGACGAGGTAATGTCAGGCCAGGTGGTTGGTGCCGATGCAGCTGAATTTTTAGTGGATGCGCGTCCGGCTAATTTTTTATTTGCTCTGTGCGCTCCCTTTCATCCCTAACCAGCTGATGGCAGGGAACGGGGATGCTGCCTGACCCTTGTCAGCATAAACCCAAGCTGAGCTGGCTTCCCCCAGACACAGCAGGGCAGGGCTGAGAGCTGGGCCTGTGTGGTTGTGGAGCAGTGTTGCAGGGCCACGCGCTCCCGCCCTCGGGGCCCCGGCGAGCTGATGGAGCCTAGGGCCTTTCCACACGCAGGCTGGCCACCTTGGCTTCGGCTCTGTCTGTGCAGAAGCCTGTTTGGCATTCTCGTGGGTGATCTTTGGAGAGAGTGGGTAAGTCTCCATGGCAGGACCGCCTTTCCTAAGGAAACCCTCTGCCCCACGGCTCCATGATTCACTGGAGATCTTCGGGAGGGCTGCTGCCTGCTTGGCACACCACTGTGGAGATTCTCCATTTTCTTGTCAGTGGCCGATTTCCGTTCTTTTTGTCACGCTCTCTGTCAGCCAGGGAGAAGCCTCTGCAGGGGTTCATTCCACCACACCCCGTTTGGCTTCTCCAGCTTATTGGAAAGTGTTTGGGTTGCCCACCAAGTCTTGGCTCTGTGGGTGCGATAGTAGGAGCTCATGAAAGGCCCGCTGACTCCCCACCGCGCCCCAGCCCTGTCCCAGTGCCACATCCCTAGAGTTGCCATGACCTTGCTCTGGGTAACTTTTCACATCCGTAAGGGTGAGCCCCAGACTCAAGGCCTCCTGTCTGCCAGCAGAGAAGTGGGCACCACGGACAGCCCAGCTCCTGGGGATCTTGAGGGCCGGGAGGGCCGGGGGTTGGTCAGGCCTCCTGGGGAAGGAGCAGCCCAGTGTCCACTGGAAGCTGCCTTTTCCTCAAGGCAGGTTGCTCCAACCCTCTCATGCCCCAAGAATCGAGCTTCTAGATAGAACAAGCCCTTTGTCCCCTTCCTGGGTGAGGGCTGAGAACACAATATGGTCGCCCACTCTCCACTTGGGAGGGATGGCTTTCGGACGAGAGGCCCTGGAAAATGGAATCTGGCAAAGCCCACTCCGTGTTCCTCATGCTAAACAGATAACCAGCAAAGGCCTCTTTCAGCCAGTAGCTTCGTCTCTGTAAGTTATTTGGACACATCACAACTTCTCACGGTGATGTTGATTAAGACCTAACAAGACCCACCAAGCTGAGTGTCAAAACAACAAATTTCTAACTCACCTTAAACAAAAACTTCACTAAGCTGAGGGCCAGTGTGGGGGCATGGTGACTGCGTGGCCTTTCTGGTCAGGGGTGGACATCTTTGTAGAGAGAAAGACCCTCTGCAGAGCTCTGCTTGGGGGCTTGTCCCACACTGTCATCTCCAGAACACATGTAGTGAGGACACTGGAAAAGGCACAGCCAGCCCCCCTCCCCTGCCAGAGCTGGAACCCAGGCCAGGCCCTGCTGGAACCCTTCCATACTGCTAGGCCAGCTCTGGTCATGATTCTCCCTGAGTTCATCCAGGCAGATCTAGGGCCAGAGCTCAGGGATGAGGTCTCCTTGTCCTTCTACTAAGCCCCACCCAATAGAGAACATTCTAGGGACAAGAGTCTGCCTTGCCCTTTCCCCATCCTCTCGATCATGAGGAGAACCAGCGCTTGGCAGGAATTGAGGTCTGCGGTATGCAGCTCTAATATTTATTAATACTGTTCTTCTGATGTGATTGAACTTTCTGAAATGCTCTCTCATGCTCAGCCTTTCCTCTATCTAACCAGTGCTTCGGGAAGTGTAGCCCCAGAGCCGCACCAACATTTGCCTGGGACTTTGTCAGAAATGCGAATCCTCGGCAGGTCCCACCGCAGAGCTGCCGTGGTGGGGCCCGGCAGCGGTGTTCTGACAGGCCGCGCGGGGAACTCTGACACAGGCGCATTCTAGTTGGAGAATCACTGCTCAAACTGTCGATACTCCTCTTCAAATGGAGATTCAGTTAGCATCGGCTCAGGATTATCTTGTAGACCTGAGTGGTCTGCCGGTATAAGTAATATCCCCATTTTAATTTTTAAAAATTTGTTTTTCTTTATTGATTTGAGAGAGAGAGGAAGGGAAAGGGAGAAAGAACATCAATTGGCCGCCTCCTGCATGCCCCCCACTGGGGATCGGGCCGACAACCTGGGCATGTGCCCTGACCGGGAGTCGAACCGGCGACCTCTTGGTGCATGGGTCAGTGCTCAACCACTGAGCCACACTGGCCGGGCGGTAATATCTCCATTTTATAGATGAGGAACTGATGCCCAAGGATCTTAAACAAGTAACTCAAGGTAACAGGGCTAAAACATGGCAGGCAGAGGTAGGATTTGAATCCATGTCTCCTGACTCCGAATCTAGGATTCTTTCTATTCCATCACACAAAGGAACGGAAAGATACACAACTAGGTAATACTGACCTATGTAAACTCACCTCTAAGAAAATGGAGTGATTCAGTTTTGTTTTGATGTGTGAATCACCCCATTCTGACAACATTGGGATCTATAAATAGAGCTTGGTTATTACCTGTTTTTGGTTACCATAGAGCTTGGTTATTACCTGTTTTTCATTATCTCTCCAAGAGTGGGTGACACACAGTACTTCTGTCTTCTCTCAGGGATAGCTTCATTTTCATAAGCCTACGAACAGTTCAAAGGAATGAATCTCTAATGGTGGAATTTGGAGTCCCTCAGTGGGTTAGGGGTGTAGATGGAGAGGTATTTTTTTCTAATGGTAACTGAATAGTCCAAGAGTAGGTCTCTGGCTTTGGGTGATCATTCCCTTCTAATTATGCCCCTAGATAGCTGCTCGGTGTAAGGTTGGCCTGAAGAATCTTAGTGTTCTTTCTTCTCATTGGTCTCCTAGTAGATGAGGGACTGCCTTATGAGGTCCTGGGCATGTAGGAAATCTCCCATAACCCCCTCAATACTGAATTTACTCTGGGGTGCAAGGTTTCAGCACTTAAATTAGAACATTGGTTAAATACTTTATCTTAAATCCATGTATTGAAATACTATTCAGCCCCAGTCTTGAGCAACCACACCTCAAGCATCAAATAGTCAAGATGTTCAAGTCCCTTAATGGCCACAGCTTTTCTCAGACAGACCCCCAGGGTTGGCTGTCAGAATTTAATGGACCCCAAGTCTTGAGGATGGACTCCGGCAGGAAATGCACACTCCTGATTGTGGAGTCTCAGCCAAAAACGAGAGCAAATTCAAACCTGAGATTTACAGGAGGGAAAAAAAAAAATTTCTCTGCTCTCAGGTCCCTGGAGAGGCTGTCTCCTAGCAAAGTGTTATTCAGAGAGAAATTATGCACAAGAGACCGAGATGTGGAGAATGCTCAGCTCATCCCTCTGGTGTAGACAAAGGATAGGCCCAGGCACCTCCTAAGTGACTTTGCTGTGTTTCCAGTCAGTGAAGTAAGGGAGCCTTAAGTCGCGGTTACTCAGTTGGTGCTGCCCCAGATTGATTTGGCTTGCTTATTTAAGCCAGGAGAAAAGAACATCTTTTTGTTTTGGAGTCAGGCTAGGATTAGCCCAGTTCCCGGAGCACCTCAGGGTGGGTTTTATGAGAGCGAAAGGGTGTCAGCATAACTGTTTACCTTGCTTCGGCCTTCTCCATGGGTCTGGTATTTGCAGCGTCATTGGGGCACTGAGGAGGGTAGAACCGGAACTCCAGTGCCAAGGAAATACTTGCCAACGGTCAAGCTCAAGCTTATGAAAGTGACAATTGGATTAATACAGGAGAGTGCTTTTGATAAATGCTCTGTTAAGAGAGAAGCCTGGGTGTTTTTCTTTTCGGACTAAAAACTGTTGAGTTCTTCCTCCCCCTCCTCCCATCCAACTCAGAATGCACGAATGCTTTACTTTGTGGCCAGAAGCTCCCCTACGCTTGTCTCTTTTAAATTTTGAAATCTATAGCAATATCCCTAGATAACTATAGAGCAGAAAAGTGTTACAATGTAGAAAACAATTGATCCCCCCCTTTAAGAAATTCTAAGATGAACACGGGGCTTTGCAAAATAAACCTCACAGTCATGTGGTGCCCCAGAAAGTTAGGCTTAAGGCTATAAAATTCAAATTACATTTGAATTTAAATATCCTCAAATCAGAACGCTTTATACATTTGAACTAGAGAGCGTTTGGTTGGTTCTAGAGGACAACTCCAGTTCTCCTAGTAGGTGGGGCAAACTGGGACTTGAGACAGGCCCCAAGGGGTTAATGCTTGTCTAGCATTATTCTGAAACAAAGCAAGGCCTGGCTGGGGCAGCCTCCCCCAGGGATGAAGTGTTGGGGCTGGGATACACCAGCCAGCCGCATTGTTTACTCTCCACCCACTGGGAAGGTGCTTTGTGGCAGAGAGCACATGTGCCTGGGTTTTGGATGCTGAGCACCAAGCCCCATTTGGTGACTCACCCCAGCACTGGGGCTGGTGTTAATTTTCCTCTCCCTTGGGCCACCCCGGCAGGAGCGGCTGGAGGCGATGCTGCGCAGGTCCCTAGAGCGCTCCCAGCAGCTGGAGCTGAAGAAGAGGTACTCCTGGGGAGGAACATCACCGGCAGTCTCGGGGCCTGGAGGACGAGATGGTGAGTTTAGGGCTGTCCCTGCATTGCAGGGCCCCAGGGCAGGCAGGAGATCATGGGCACAGCCTGCAGGGTCTGGGGGATGCTTTGTAGCAATCTGCAGGTACCTTTCTCAGATATGCTGTTTCAAACTGCCAAGCTTCCTGTGTTTGCAAGTTTCTCATGAAGAGAATCTGTGCGTTCTTTTTGCTAGCAAGCAGCAGTTGAGACAATAACTGGGCTATGAGGTAAAGCAAAAGCAAAGAAAATGAATAGAGTCTGGTTAACTGGATCCATCTGGCAAGCCCTAGGACACTCTGATTTCAGGGAAGGTCGATGGCAGTAGGCTAAGTCACCGCGGCAGCCTGACCCACAAAGGCTGAGCAGCAGTTACCATCTATAAAGGGGGTAGGGGTTTTCCCTCCTCATTATTAATTTTTACTGCTCTTTCAATTTTGTTTCAAGATGACTTATTTCATTATCCAGTTCACACTCATTTTGAAATGTTCAGATCTTTAATTTAACATATGGATTGCTATTAGTCTGGGTAGCTTCCCCCCTCCCCCCTTCAGTGTCTTACTTCTAGTCATTCTATTACTCAGGGTTGTGTACTAGCTCTTCCTGAAAGCAGATGGGTTTACATTTATTTATATTACCGTTTCTTGACTTGACTGTTTTGTGCATTTAACCTTTGTCAGTGAATATACTTTGTCATTTCTATTTTTGAGAAGTCAGCCCATTTCAGTTACTTTTCCTAATTTCCTAAATCAACCAGAAAGTGGGACTTTTTCTTTTACCTCTCTTTGCTCTGATTTTTTTTTGCTCTGTAGGTGAATCAGAAAACACTCCACCCCCTCCTCTAGGTTTAGCAGCCAGCACCCTCCCTCCGGATCCAGGGACCTCTGCCGCCGCCGAGTCCATCAATGGTATATCTGAGCATCACCATACCATGGCGTTTTGTGATGACCGCTCTGATCACCTCCTCCATTACCGTGTCTGTCTTGAGCACTTTTACAATTGCTTTCTTAGTCTGACCCCTAGAACTTTTTTCTAGCGATGTGAATGACATGCTTATATCTCTTTGTTCCTGTCATCGTGGAGCTGTGCATGCCTTCCATCCTAGTGCCCCGGAGACATCCCATTCGTAGCTCACTAACCTCTGCCTTGAAAATCTTGTCAAGGTTTGACGTTCGTGCGTTCAGATCTTTCACACTCTCATTAATCATCGGTTTTGGCATTAAGTAGTCGTGTGTTTCAGTCCCTTCTGATTAATCACAGAGTTCCGGGTGTTGATGCGATGGCTTTCTGGAGAGATGTTGGAGAGGGAGTGGTGGGGGGGTTATCAGTACTAACACTGGGGATCCAAACAAGGAGATCAGTGGGCTCAGTTCTTGATTTCACCTCCCAGATAGGCTCTCTGCTTTTGATACAGGCTTGGGAAATTCTTAGAGTCTAGATCAGAATTAGCCAAACTTTGCCCCCATTTAATAATTTTAGAAATCCAACCCATCTTTGGCTAGCAAAGAAAAAAAAAAGAGGTAAGAGGGATGTACTATTTATGAGCCATGCAGAAGGTCAATTTACAGCAGTAGGAATAAATATCCTTGGTTTCTAGCATTCCTTTGAGAAAGAAGAGTCTTTATTAGTGTTACTGAGTAGAAGGGGCTTTGCTGCTTGGGCCGAGGGAACTGTAGTGGGGGCGCTGGCCTTTCTTTGACAGACAGGGGCAGATGGAGTTGATAATTACCCCTTGGGAATCGTAGCCAGAACCCAGGCCAGGGTGAGGCAGCTTTACTCGGGCACCCAATTTAAGGGGGCACCAAAAATCTCACTACATCAAGATAAAATACTATTTTACTAAATCAAAATTAATGCAGAACAATGTATGATGAACAAAATATCAACTATCTAAAGACCAGTGCCATGCTGAGCTATGTCAGAGCCTGAGGCAAAGGGGGAAATGTGTACCCCTATCTATATACGTGACTTCATATAATTACCAATAGTTAATTATTTTTCAGAACATTAAAGTAGCTGCCAAAATACTGAAAAAATGAAATACAGGTGTGTTAAAACTCACATAACTGTACGTTTATTTTATTTTATTTTTTAATCCTCACTTGAGGACATTTTCCCATTTTTGTTCAGATAGAGTGGGAGAAAGGGGGGGGGAGAAACATCAACATGAAATGGACATATCGAGTGGTTGCCTCCCGTATGACCCCCAACCAGGGCCGGGGACAAATCGCAACCAAGGTACATGCCCCTGACCGGAATGATTCATTAGTCTGTGGGCCAATGCTCTAACCACTGTGCAAACCAGCCAGGGCATAAGTTTAAATGTTTTATTTATACCAAAACAGAATTTATTATAATTTTACTTCCGCTTATAAGTCAATTAAAATTTTTTTAGGATCATCACTTGGTCAGAAGAAATAGTCAAACGTGGCAGTTACCTCATTTGAAAACATGACAAGAGTAGATTTTGAACATTTTATTGATGAGTTTTCTTCCTTTCAAGCCAGGGCACACACCTTTTTTTTTGCCTTGGGCTCTGATATGGCTTTGCAGGGCACCATCCTTAACACTTTATTTGCAGTAGTGGTTTCATGTAGAAAGCACTCTAAGCTACCGGCTGGAAAATAAGAGCACCAAACTGGGGACCACATGTTGACATCCTAAGCATAAGCAGTCATAGCATTTGAGAAAAGGCCGTTGTGACCCCATCTCTTAATAAGAGGAAGAATCCAGCTACTAAAGGTTGTTCTGTTTTAACTAGAGCTCCTCACCTTACAAAAGACTCTCTCCAACCTGAGCTGTAGACAGCCTTCCGAAAGAGTCCAGCCCTGGCCAGTTTGGCTCAGCAGTTAGAGCATCAGCCCACAGACCAGAGAGGCCCGGGTTCGGTTCCCGCTAAGGGCACGTACCTCAGTTGCAGTTTGTCCCAGGCCCCGGTTGGGGTTGCGCAGATGGCAACCAGTCGATGTGTCTCTCTCACATCAATGTTTCTCTCTCTCATCCTCCCTCTATCTGAAGATTAAAAAAATGCAAAAATGTCCTCGAGTGAGGATTTAAAAAAAAAAAAAAAAAGAGTCCAGTTCCCAGTATGCACCCAGTCAGGCCATAGAACATTTTCTGGTGGAGTTTGTCTCTGGGTCCAGGTTGGTGGTGTTTGCATGTGGTCTGAATATACTGAATAAAAGCCCCTGGACACAAGGAGATAAGTGATTTGCTGGTGGGATTAATTGAGTAGTCGAGTGAGGTTTGATGAAATCGAAGAGAAGAGCAGAGTTGAGAAGTAAAAGAAGAGAGCGTCTTGCTTCAGCCCAGTGGCTGCCATGACCTGGGCATTTCCAGACAGACTAGACAGACAGGATGCTGGAAGCAGTGTGCTGTGCCACAGTGGCTTAGAAGGCGTGTGGATGCGGACAGGAACAATGCTGGGGGGCAGGGTGTGTCTCAGTCTACAGTGGCGTGGGTACCAATGTCTTTACTGCGTTTCTCTGCAGCATGTGACAAACTTTCCACATCGACTATGAATTTACCAAAGCAGACCGAGCCTCCGATGAGCAAGCGCCTGTCTTCATCCTCCGCAGCAATATCCTGTTCTCCAGACAGAGGCAAGTGAATATGGAGACCTGGTCTCTCCAGTTTTGTTCTTTCTAGTGTGAGTGTTTCAGTGTCAGTCTTCGTGATAGCCCCTCTTGAGCCTTCTGCAAATACCTCCATTATCTTTGTCTTGTGGTCTGAATGTAAGGGCCGCAGTGGGACTTTGGAAAGTGACATCACCCGTTAGGGCCAGGTCATGGTTGTATAGAGACAGGAATTACTGCCGTTCCCCACCTGAAAGAGACTGTTCCATCTTCCACAGTGCATGCGGGAGTTATCCTGCCTCAGAATTCATTGGCCAGTGGGCAGCTGTGACTGTTTAAAAAGTAACTGCCCCAGCTATTGGTGTGATGTAATTGATTAGCCAGAAACAGCAGAACTGATGAGGCAGAGAGGTTCGTGGGAGGCTTAGATGTGTGAAAAAATGGGGCTCTGCTACTGCTGTGTTTTGTGGGCCTGCCCAAACAGTTCAGAATTAACATGAAGCCTTTAAAAGGGAAAAAGGATGGGTGGCCTTTTCCAACACTCTTCTTCGAGGTGGGGGATGATATGTATAGGACATGTGTCAGTGCCAGAAACTGAATAGATTTAAAACTGCCTGGGTTCCAATGGAGGCTCAGGTAAGTCATTGAAAGTCTGAACTGAGACTTTTCAGAGCACGCAGGTTAAGGAAGGGAGGGAAGCTGTCCATGCCTCAAATGTGTATTTTAAAGCATTACTGAAGCCCTGGCCGGTTTGGCTCAGCAGTTAGAACTTTGGCCTGCGGTCCAGAGAGACCCGGGTTCAGTTCCCGCTAAGGGCACGTACCTCGGTTGCAGTTTGTCCCCGGCCCTGGTTGGTCGTGCGGGTGGCAGCCACTCGATGTGTCCCTTTCACGTCGATGTTTCTCTCTCTCTCTTCCTCTCTCTCCCTGCCACGCTACCTGAACAAAAATGGAAAAATGTCCTCGGGTGAGGATAAAAAAAAAAAAAAATTAAAGCATCACTGAAGACGTGTCAGGTACCAGTGGAGTATTTAGCACTTCAAGTCATCACCAAAGGGCCAGCAGAAGGATGTTTGACTTTGGTGAAGCCGGTGTATCTTCCTGGTTGTTTTGCAATGGCATTGACATTGCACCTGTCATGTGTGTCAGAAACCTGTAAGTGTCAGAGTGGCTGATCTCTGCTGTAGTTCGAGGGTAAGCACTGGAAACTTTGAATTTGAGTAAGAGCTGGATAAGAAAACATCTACATGCTTTTAAATCATTTACATGCTGTTCCATTAGTGAGCGTATTCCATATGCTTTCATGAATTCACATGGTTACAAATTGATGTTAAATTTGTATTTGCATTGATTAGTATGTAAAGATTGGCAGCTAAATTATCTGCTTATGAATTATGAATTGAAATTTTTAATTCCCAAACCATTTACTGGCGATTGGGTACCCAGAGAACACAAGGTAGTGGAAAAGTTAATCAATGACCTTATAATACGTTCCAAAACCATCAGAATGACATTTTTTTTTTTTATCCTCACCCGAGGACATCTTTTCATTTTTTGTTCAGATAGAGTGGGAGGGAGAGGGAGGAAGAGAGAGAGAGAGAAACATCGATGTGAAAGGGACACATCAAGTGGTTGCCACCCACACGACCAACCAGGGCCGGGGACAAACTGCAACTGCGGTACATGCCCTTAGCGGGAACCGAACCTGGGTCTCTCTGCACCGCAGGCCAAGACTCTAACCACTGAGCCAAACCGGCCAGGGCCAGAATGACATTTAAGTCACTGAATTTTGGATTATGAATAGTATTACTTCCATTAAAGCTCATAATCATTTGGCTATTTTTACTTTTATGCTTATTTAATTTTGCCCTTATTTACATGAAAAAAGTATGAAAGGATGCATATTTACACATGAACAAATTCTGTGTCTTACAAAATATTTCTTTACAGAGGATCCAAAAACAAGTATTTTGTAGAAGTAATCTTTCTTTCAGTGTTAGATCTACTTGGTGAGTAAATGGTTTCTTGAATCCATATGACGTCATGGGAGATGGGCTGATTGTCTTGAAGTGATACAGGTAATACTATAATAGCATATTGAATGAATTTTAACACCCCAGGATAATCAATGCACTCTTTCGCACTCTAAACGACACATCATTTGTTTCAGTTTACTACGGCGAACTCTGAAGTCATCCTGCGCTAGAATATTTTTATTTTCCACATTCGTTCTACCACCCAAACGTTAATTTGCATCATGTACTGTGTTGTTTTAAACATGTTATTTTATTTTGCTTTCATTTTGCTTTTTAAACTTTTTATTTGATTCCATTCCTCAGCTCATCGCATGCTCATTGGTTCCTCGGACAGCTTTGTCATTACTCGACTGTTGGTACCCACTCAGGCTTCTTTAGCCAGAAGCAGAAGTGCACTGTTAGTGTCTGGGCAGGACAGTGACTCAGGTAAAAGACGCCAAGCTGGTGACACTAAGGAACATGGCCAGAAGTGGTATTGGTTAGCCTATAAGTTCTTCCTGAATTTTAGTACTTAGCTTCACTTTTGCCGGCTTCATGAAATGCCTACCCACCAGTGTATCACTATGTTTCTTTTACGTGTCATAAAAGTGAGGGAATTATTAAAGGCATGTGGAGTAGGGGGGAATCCGTTTCATGAGCTCTGGAGGTTAGACTTGTTTTTTTTTCATCCTCACCTGAAGATATTTTCCCATTGATTTTCCAAATAGAGTGGGAGGGAGGGAGAGAGAGAGAAATGGGAGGGAAAGAGAGAGAGAGAAACATCAATATGAGAAAGACACATTGACTTGCTGCCTCCCACACGACCCCGACCAGGGCCAGGGACAAACCGCAACTGAAGTACGTGCCTTTGACCGGAATCGAACCTGCGACTCTTTGTTCCCTGGGCCAATGCTCCAACTGCTGAGCCAGATCAGCCAGGGCTGGAGGATAGACTTTTTAAAGAGATGGTTTGGCAAAGTATCCTTTAAACCAATCTCTGGGGTCCTGTAAATAGCCCTATCACTTGCTATTTCTTACCACTTTGGATAAGTTAATTTACCTCTCTAAGCCTCAGTAGTTTGTTCTCATCTATATAATGGAGTTATTTTAAATTGTCATGAGGATTGAATGAGATTGGCACAGTGAGAGAGCCTAACAAATGTCTAGAGCCTTGCTACTCAAGGGCTGGTGTGCGGACCTGCAGCGTCGGCATCACCTGGGAGCTTGTCAGGAAGGCAGACTCCAGACTCCCTAGACCTGCACACTGTAGTCTGGGAAGCACTGGGCCATACCATCAAAGCCCTTCCTTGACCAAAATGGGTCAAAGCATCATGGCAAGATTAATGAGGGCTGGCGTCCTCTGTTTGCGCATGAGCAACACTGGGTTCACATTAGGGTAGGTCTGATCTTATTTCCCAAGATAGTGTATTCAGTGAGATGACATATAAATGATACAGAATTCTCTACCTAGTTCTAGCTGTTTGTGAGTAGTGCTATTTCCGCAAAGAAGATATATGAATAGGCAATAAACACGACAGATGCTCAACATAGGGAAATGCTAGTCAGAATCCCAGTGAGATACTACTTCACATTTTACTAGGATGCCTAAAATTCAAAGAGTAAAAGGAAAACAAGTGTTGGTGAGGATGTGGAGAAATTGTAACCTTTCTACATTGCTGGTAGGAATGGAAAATGGTGCAGTCACTTTAGAAAACCGTCTGGCCAAGTTCTTCAAAAAAGTTAAACGCAGAGTTACCATATGACTCAGCAATTCCACTCTTAGGTATAGAGCCAAGGAAATTGAAAACATACGTTCACACCAAAACTTGTACACGAGTGTACTTAGCAGCATTTTTCATCATAGCCACAAAGTGTAAATAATCCAAATGTTCGTGAACAGATGAATTGGTAAATAAAATTGTGTTATCTCCATCAAGTGGAATATTATTCAGCTATAAAAAGGAATGAATTACCAATTCATGCTACATGATGAGCCTTGGAAACAGTATGTATGCTCAGTGAAAGAAGCCAGGCACAAAACGCCACCAATTGTATGATTCCATTTATGCGAAGTGTTCAGAATAAGCAAATCCAGAGAGATAGTGAATTAGTCATTGCTAGGGAATGGGGTGGGGGAATGAATGCTTTATGGGTACAGGGGTTCCTTTGGGGGTGTTGAACATGTTCTGGAATTAGACTGTAGTTATGGTTGCACAACCTCGTGAATATACTAAAAAAGACTAAATTTTAAAAGGGGGAATTTTATAGTATGTGAATTATATCTCAAACAAATACATTTCTGGAAAAGTATTCCCATTTGGAGAAGAGGGATGTGTCAGAAGGTCCCCAAGACCACTCCCAGGGTCCGTGACTCTCCAGGAGGATTCAGCTGTGATCCTTATCACAGGGAAAGGCTACAGAGCAAAATGAGCAAAAGGAAAAGGTGCATGGGATAGAGTCTAGGGAAAACTAGGTACGAACTTCCGGAGTCCTCTCCCAGGATAGTGACATAGGACACATTCTCCCAGCAATGAGTTGTGACATGTGTGAAATGTTGCTGACCAGGAAAGCACATTGGAGACTCAGCACTTAGGGTTTTATGGGGAGCTGGCCATGTAGGTAGCCCCTACCAGGCACCTACCCAAATTCCAGACTTGCAGAAGGAAAGTAGGAGAAGTCGTGTTATTTGTACAAACGACTTAGGTGCAGTGAGCTGCTCTTCACTTAGTGGTGGGAACCCTCCTGGATCTCATTTCTTAGATGCAGACCAAGGGCCAAACTTGTAAGCAGGTCTTTCTGAAGACAGTAGCCAGGCCTGCTACGTTAATTCTTTCTACACAAGGAAGTTGACATTCAGAGAAGTTAAGTAACCTGCCCAAGGTGATCTGACTATTAGATGACAGACTATTAGGTCTGTCTGGCTCCAAAGCCCAGATTTTGAACTCCTGAAATGAACTGGACTCTTCAACATTGAGTGTGGGAGTCTTTTAAGATAGAGTCTCTTCGCCTGGCTGGTGTGGCTCAGTTGGTTGAACATCATCTCATGCACCAGGAGGTGACCTGTTCAATTCCCAGTCAGGGCACATGCCCGGGTTTTAGGCTAGATCCCCAGTAGGGGGCATGCAGGGGGCAGCCAATCGATGTTTCTGTCTCTGTGTCCCTCTCACTCTCTCTGAAATCAATAAAAATATGTTTTTTGAAAAAGATGCCAGGCCGGTGTGGCTCAGTGGTTGATCATTGACCCATGCACCAAGAGGTTGCTAGTTCGATTCCCGGTCAGGGCACATGCCCAGGTTGTGGACCCAATCCCCAGTGGGGGGCATGCAGGAGGGGCCAATTGATGTTCTCTCACATTGATGTTTCTGTCTCTCTCCCTCTCCCTTCCTCTCTCTCTAAAGATCAATAAAGGGAAAAAAATTTTAAAAGATAGAGTCCCTTCCGTGCACATGGGAAAAAGTATGGCGGTATTTTGAACTGTGGATTCCCCGTGTCATGTTCTAACAGAAATGTGTTCTTCCCAATTCCTTGCTTAACCTGCTTTTCCCACCTATGCTCCCCGTCTCTCTGGCTGTTATGCTGTAACTGTCTAGTCTTTCATATCTGTCCTCGTATAGCTACTGCCAGCTCTCCTCAGTGTTCTTACAAGTCTTCCCCGACTCGGATCATGAACAAGAAGAAGACTGTATCCACCCCTGTTAGAGGAGATACTGGCAAAGGAGCTTCTGCAGGAGTTGAGACACCTCGGGTATGTCTACACCCACTCACTCACCCTTGGGACCATTTAACTGACAGTGTCTGTGCACTTGACCCGGGCCTGTTTCTGTCAATGTCCAGCCACTGCTCAAGGGGCAGATTTGGTTTAAAATTTCACCCAGCCTTTGCAAATCATTGAACCTTTTGTACCCTCCTAAATCTTGGTGCCTTGGAGCAAATTCCTAAAGACCTTGTCCTCCTGCCAGCCTGCCTTCCAGAGGCCAGGAGTCAGAAGGAATGTTCTGAGTGTCCTCTCGCTGCTGCTTCAAGGGTATCTGAATCTGGGCCAGTCTTGCCTCTATAGGTAACCAGAGCTGAGGTTCTGGGCCTGCCGTCATTCACCACAGCAGTGGCTTTTAAACATTTTTTCTGGCCCAGTGTGGCTTACTGGTTGAGTGTCAACCCATGCACCAAGAGGTCGCCGGTTCGATTCCCAGTCAAGGCACATGCTTGGATTGTGGGCCCGATCCCCAGTGGGGGGCATGTGGGAGGCGGCCAGTCGGTGTTCTCACTCAATGTTTCTATCTCCTTCTGCCTTCCTTTCTCTCTAGAAGCAATAAAGAAAAGAAAAGAAAAGAAATAAACATTTTTTTTCTGTCATACTAACACCATCAGCAAAACAAATGTTGAGTAGGTACTCCCAATTAGGTGTATTTATTTAGAAATTATACATACTACACTACTTTTGTTAGTTGTCTGTTGCTATGTAACAAATTACACCAAATCTTAGCAGCTCAAAACAAATGTTTATTACCTCACTGGTTCTTTGGATCAGGAATTGAGGGTGGCGTAGCTGGGTGCTTGTGGTTGATGAGCGTGAGGTCAGGGTGGCAGCCCGGGCTGCAGTCACCTGAAAGCTTGGCTGAGGCCCTTCCAGGTTGGCTCACTCGCATAGCTGTTGGCAGGAGGCCTCAGTTTCTTACTGTGTGGACCTCTCCATAGAGCTGCCTGAGTGTCCAAACGACATGGCAGCTGGCTTCCCCCAGAGCAAGAGATCCAAGAGACAGAGCGAGGAAGCTGCAGTGCGTTTCTGTGCTAGCCTCAACCTCAAGCGTTGCACACCCTCACTTCAGCCACATGCTGTGTGTTAAAAGCAAGTGACTGAGACCAGCCCAAACACAGGGGATGGGAACTGAGCTCCATCTCTTTTTTTTTTTTAATTTTTTTTCTTTATTGATTTTAGAGAGAGAGGAAATGAGAGGGAGAGAGAGATAGAAACATCGATGAGAGAGAGAACATCAATTGGCCGCCTCCTGCATGCCTCCCACTGGGAATTGGGCCCACAACCTAGGCATGTGCCTTGACCGGGAATCGAACCGGAGACCCCTTTGTTCATGGGTCGATGCACAACCACTGAGCTACACTGGCCAGGCGAGCTGCACCTTTTGAAGGGACAACATCCAATGATGTGTGCACTTATTTTAAAACCGCCACACTACTGTACTATTGGGCATTTATTTGTATTTATTTGTTTAAAATATATTTTTATTTATTTTTTTAGAGAGAGAGGAAGGGAGAGAGATAGAAACATGGATGTGAGAGAGAAACATGGATCGGCTGTCTCCTGCACACCCCGTACTGGTGATCGAGCCCACAACCCGGGCATGTGCCCTGACCAGAAATTGAACCGGGACCTCTCAGTCCATGGGATGACGCTCAATCCACTGAGCCACACCAGCTAGGCAGGACATTTATTTTTTATAACACCTTGTTTATTTTTTAAATCCAGGGTAGCCCTGAAGTTCTCACATAAGAAGTGAATGTTTCAGACCCTTGGTTTTTACTCTAGGGAGGCCTACTGTGTAGAAGGGGGCCAATGTATGTGGGTGCATGGACCAAATAAGGACTTGCTGTGCAAAAGTGTGATAGGGAACGAAGGGAACCACCTTTGCAGAGCACCACTGGGGGCCCAGCAGGGAGGCCCATACCTCCAGCCTCCCGCAGAGGTAGGTCATGGGGAAGACATAGAGGGATGGGTGAGGTTCCAGGGTACACTGTTGGTGTCCACAGCTCACTGTCTTTTAATTTTTTAAATCCTCACCCCAGGATATGTTTTTTAGTGGTATTAGAGAGAGAGCAAGATAGAGAGAGAGAGAGAGAGAGAGAGAGAGAAAGACATCAATGTGAGAAACATTGATCGATTGCCTCCGATATGTACCCTGACTAAAGAATGCCCCAGCCTAGGTATGTTCCCTGCCTGGGAATTGAGCCCACAACTTTTTGGTGTGTGGAACGATGCACCGACCAACCAAGCCACCTGGCCAGGGCCACAGCTCACCATCTGGAGTGTTACAACCACATTTACGCCCATCTACAGCTCTTAGTAGTGATTGCAGATCTTTGTATTCTTTCCACTTTCCATGTACGGTGGGGGGCAAAATTAGCTTTACAGTTGCGAGTACGAGAAACAGAATGCATTGTATTATTTATTTATTAATTACATTGTTTGTTTGTAGTATTTGTCTTATTGTTGTTATTTCATATCCTTACATATGATTGATCTTTTAGGTAATGATGGATGGTAATGTAACCTATTTTTGCCTGCACCTGTATCCAGGACCATCGTATGGTTCTGTTGTAGCGCTTCTCAAGATAACAAGGAGAAGGAAATCTTTGCAGTTGTTTGTTTGTTTGTTTGTTTGTTTATGTATTTATATCTTCACCTGAGGACATTTTTGCATTTATCTTCAGATAGAGCAGGAGGGAGAGAGGGAGGAAGAGAGAGAAACATTGACGTGAGAGAAACACATTGACTGGTTGCCACCCGCACAACCCCAACTGGGGCTGGGGACAAACTGCAACCGAGATACGTGCCCTTAGCAGGAACCGAACCCAGGACTCTCCTGTCTGCAGGCCAACGCCCTAACCGCTGAGCCAAACCAGCCAAGGCTGAATGTATTTATTTTTAATTAAATTGCCTAAATATAATGACCTCATGGTGCCTCTCTGCAAGTATTCCTATCGTGGGAAGCACTATAGCTTTGGATGGATTCTTCTGAAAGAAAGCTGTGCATCGCTTCCATCCGTGGTATTTTTAGAAATTGTAGTTGTGGGTCATGGCTGTCCTATTCGATGTCCCCTACAGACGGAGAAGACGAAGAGGGGAACACGAACAGTATCTTCTTTCTCCTACGTGAGCCCTGCGTCCCCTCTGAGGAGATCTGAATATCCCGGAGATGTTTATAAGAGTTCATCTACTCCCATGACATCCAGGTAAGCATCTTTCCCCTTTGTCCCAGACAGACGATTAAAGCCGTTTGGCTGGGCTCTGTGCAGTGCAGGGTGTGCCTCCTGCTCCCCCAAGTGGCGTGGGTGGCCCTAAGAAGTGAGCAGGAGGAATGCTGAAGTGTGACTTACTTACTCCGCTCTCTGAGTATCTTCTGGACAAACAATGGTCTCTTAAGAGGTCTTGTTGCCTGGTAAATCTCTGGTTACGGAGATGATCCATTCAGCATTTTCTCTTTAGGTCCATCAATTCCATTCTGCTTTTCTGGCATGCTCCTTTTTTGTCCTTCAGCTGCATCTGGAGTGATGTGATTACATTGTGCTTGGGTCTCTAATTAAAAGAGGCAACAATAACTTGTCAGCCACCATTAGCCGTATGGTTATTTATATATATTATTTATTTATTTTTTTTTTAAGAATTAGGTGAACTCACCAATGAAACTGTGTAAATGAAAAATATTTATGCTACGTGGCTTTGTCTTAAAGTAACTGACAAGAATGACTCAGTAAGGAACTCCATCCAGCAGTAGATTGGAAACACCTTCACTGGGATATGCTTTTCATTTGGGAAAATAGGAAACTCTTTATATAGAGAGAATGATAAAACTTGTTTAGTGCATCATTTTGGCTCGGAGAACAGGATAAAACACACATTTAAGGAACACTTGGAAATTTCTTTAAAATATTTCAAGGTGACAGCAGCTCTTATTTCTCACTTGTTCCTTTCTAGCAGGTACCATTTTCACTATTATTTTGCTCAGATATCACTACGGCTGTTATAGACTACTAAGTCCTGCTATTGCTGTATCCATGTTCCATAAGGAAAAGCCTTCTATAGTGCGTTGCTAAATTAATAGCATCTTGGTTTGTTAATGTTTTAAGTCCGTTCATCCTTTCTGTTCTAGTATGGCCTGCCCTTGATTATGGTATTGCTCTCTTGCTAACTCTAAATTCAATAGGTGGGCTGTAAGTTCTCTATTTGTCTTATTTCTGAGCATTTCATTCACATGTCACTACTCTGGTGATAGTTTGGGACATTGGCATTAACAGAGAGAAAAAGCCTGTTCACACTGAGGTTTTTCCAGGTTCTCTCCCCACCACCACTTTCCAGGATATTGACTCATGGTTCCTGCATGGATTGTAGCCGACAAGTTTCATCATCATCATTGTAAATTTCACTAAGATGAACAAGAGGTTGTTGCCCTCTCTATACAGAGAATTCAGGTTTTGGAAAAAAGCTCTCAGTAGGCTGTGTGTGTGTGTCCACACAGTAGAGTACTATACAGCCATAAAAAGTCATGAATGACAATATGCCTGGCCAGTGTGGCTCAGTGGTTGAGTGTCGACCTATGCACCAAGAGGTCACCAGTTCGATTCCCAGTCAGGGCACATGCCCAGGTCCCCAGTGGAGGGCATGCAGGACACAGCCAATCGGTATTCTCTCTCATCAGTGTTTTCATCTCTCTCTCCCTCTCTCTTCCTCTCTCTCTAAAATCAATAAAGAAAAAAAATTTAATTTATGGAGAACAATATGTAATTACATAGAAAAATGATCAGGATATTGTGATAAAATGTTATATGGAACATGGTTCAATTTTTATCAAGTGCATATTTTCCATACTCTTGAGTCTTCTTTTTTTTTATCCTCACCCGGGGACATTTTTCCACTTTTGTTCAGATAGAGTGGAAGGGAGAGAGAGGAAGAGAGAGGGAGAGAGAGAAACATCGACGTGAAAGGGACACATCAAGTGGCCGCCACCTGCACAACCAACCAGGGCCGGGGACAAACTGCAACCGAGGTACGTGCCCTTAGCGGGAACCGAACCCAGGTCTCTAGGACCGCAGCCAACGCTCTAACCGCTGAGCCAGACCGGCCAGGGCTCTTGAGTCTTTTCTTAAGGTAAATTTTCAAACATAAGATGAATAAATTATTTTTAAAAGATTGATAGATATTTAATATGCATATACCTGATCACATTGGTGAATGTATATATGTGTAGACAATCAGTGGTTCTTGGGGCAGTGAGGTCTTTATCCACCACCTCCTTTTTTGTTTGTATTTCTAGTTTCAAAATTATCTACAAAAATCACATATTATTTTTGTATTATCAAAAAGAAGGAAGGGTATTTTGATTGCCTGAAACCCTTTGATCTGAGGGGCAATGCTCTAACCACTGAGCAAAACCAACCAGGGCTCACTTGGGGAATTTTTAAAGGATGAAAGATGCCAGCTTCTTACTGCGCTGCCGGGTATTCCTGCCAACTCGGCAAAGAGAAATGAATGGAATGGCCTATATTTACAGAGCCCTAGCCATGTCATCTCTAGTGCAGGCAGGAAACAGTAACCTCAAACACAGCTAGACTTCCTTGTGTACTGTCAAAACTACCAGAATCATTATCTTCCTTAAGAGGGCCCTGGAGCCCTGGCCAGTTTGGCTCAGCGGTTAGAGCATTGGCCTACAGTCTAGAGAGACCCATGTTCGGTTCCTGCTAAGGGCATGTACCTTGGTTGCAGTTTGTCCCTGGCCCCGATGTGGTCGTATGGGTGGCAGCCAGTCAATGTGTCTCTCTCACATCGATGTTTCTCTCTCCCTCTTCCTCCCTCACTCCCTCCCGCTCTATCTGAAGATAAAAGCAAAAAAAAAAAAAAATCTTCAGGTGAGAATTAAAAAAAAAAAAGAGGGCCCTGGGGATAGAAGTTGCTTGGGTCCCTATTACATCAGAATTGCAAGTTGAGAGATCTAAAGAGAAGCAAATGTTTCTTTATTTTAAGATGTTCGGAAAGAATTATAGTTTCTCCCCGGGTGAAAATTAATGGCTGAACCATACTGGGTATGGACCAGGTCTGAGAAATGTGTGAAGTCACATAGACCATGAGTGAATTTTGAAAACCCAACCAGACTATATAGCAGTGAAAAAAAATGGATCACAGCTGCCCACAACCAGAAAAAGTTGTAGAATTTGCATCTATTGGGTTCTCAAGTGTGCAAAATTAAACACTGTTCTTTTTTTATTATTATTGTTTTTTCTTTATTGATTTGAGAGAGAGAGGAAATGAGAGGGAGAGAGAGATAGAAACATCAATGAGAAAGAACATTGACTGGCCGCCTCCTGCCTGCCCCGCACTGGGGATTGGGCCCACAACCTGGGCATGTGTCCTGAACGGGAATTGAACCAGTGACCTCTTGGCTCATGGGTTGATGCTCAACCAATGAGCCACACCAACCGGGCAACACTGTTTTTTAAAGAATATAAACGTGGTGCCCTGGCCGGTTTGGCTCAGTGGTTAGAGTGTCAGCCTGCAGACCAGAGAGTCCGGGGTTCGGTTCCTGCCAAAAGCAGGCACATCAGTTGTAGTTTGTCCCCGGCCCCGGTTGGGGTCATATGGCTGACAGCCACTGGATGTGTCTCTCTCGCATCTTTCTCTTCCCCCCTCTCTCCCTCCAGCTCTATCTGAAGATAAATGCAAAAATGTCCTTGGGTGAGGATTTTAAAAAAAAAGAATATAAACATGGTAAAATGAGTTTTAGTGAAAGAAAGTGGCAAACATAAAATGCAAAGTGCTGATGGCCTCTGAGTGAGGAGGGGGGCGGCCGTCAGGGAGGGAAACAGGAGAGTCCAGCATAATTACAGTGTCCTTCTTTCGAACTGGTTGGTGGATTTGTTACATGACTCTATATATCTTTTGTATTTCATAGTCATTTGCATACACAATTTTTAAGAAAGACAATACAAAAGAAACACTTGATTTTTAAAATGGTGTCACACACAAACCCCAACCAAAGTGGCATTTCAAGCTTCCCTCTGCACAGACCTAGTGTGTGATCTATAGAGCACACTGGATGTGACGTGGCTTTGGGCTTAGTCCCTTTGAACTCCCATCCAGAAACCCAGACGGCTTACGTGATGAATAGCTCTGACAATGCATTGTTCCCCTCGCAGATGTCAGATAAACTAAGCACTGGTGGGTGGCTGTGCATAGTAATGGCATTGCTCTTTTCAGCGTTCAAGTTTATTTTTATTGTTCACATTGGCGTGTACTTGTATGGGTTTTCACAAACTAGCTTCAGCGACACTCTGAAAGATGTGGCTGGAGCATAGCTTTCTTTGTGTAACCTGGAAAGGGGAAATCAAGTGTGGTCCAGTGGATTTGCCCCAGCCTCTGTGGGTGCTGCCTGTCTGGTGAGTTCCTCAGTGTGAAACACTCCAATGGTTTTAGGTTCATAGAAATATATTCGATGTCACTTTGCTCATTATGATGGGGAATGTGTCAGTTGTTTATTGCTGCTATAAGAACCACTACCACCACCACCCCCCGCCGCCAAATTTAGTGGCATAAATCACCCTGGCCAGTTTAGCTCAGTGGTTAGAGCGTCGGCCTGTGGACCAGAGAGTCTGGGTTTGGTTCCCGCTAAGGGCACATACCTCGGTTGCAGTTTGTCCTTGGCCCCGGTTGGGGTCCTGTGGGTGGCAACCAATCCATGTGTCTCTCTCACATCGATGTTTCTCCCTCTCTCTTCCTCCCTGTCTCCCTCCTTCCTGTTCTATCTAAAGATAAATGCAAAAGCGTCCTCGAGTGAGGATAGAAAAAAAACAAAAAACAACCTGTTATTCTCACAGCTCTGTGACTTAAGCTAACTGGAAGGTCTCTCTGTGTGTCATTAGTGTGGTTGCTCCGTGGTTGACTTGGGCTCACTGGGCGGTTTTCACTTGGAGTCTTCCACACAATTACCATCCAGTGTCCGCTGGGTTAACCTAGGGCTCAGCTGAGCTGGCGGTCCACAATGGCCCATTCACCTGGCTGGCAGTTGATGCTGGCTGTTGGCTGGAGCTCAGCTGGGGCTGTCAACCAGAATAGAATGCCCACATGTAGCCTCTCCATATGATGTAGGCATCTCATAGCATGGCAGCCGAGTTCCAGGGAGTGTCCCCAAGACTGCGTATCTCCCAAGACAGGGAGTAAGCTGCCAGGCCAGGCAAGGACTATG